GAGGCCCTCCTGGGAATTTACCCCCCCCTTCCTGACGAGGCCCTCCTGGGAATTTACCCTCCCCTTCCTGACGAGGCCCTCCTGGGAATTTACCCTCCCCTTCCTGACGAGGCCCTCCTGGGAATTTACCCCCCCCCCTTCCTGACCAGGCCCTCCTGGGAATTTACCCCCCCCCCTTCCTGACCAGGCCCTCCTGGGAATTTACCCCCCCCCCTCCTCCTGACCAGGCCCTTCTGGGAATTTACCCCCCCCCCCCTTCCTGACCAGGCCCTCCTGGGAATTTAACCCCCCTTCCTGACCAGGCCCTCCTGGGAATTTACCCCCCTTCCTGACCAGACCCTCCTGGGAATTTACCCCCCCCCCTTCCTGACCAGGCCATTTTTTTGCGATACGGCTCTGAGTTACTTTAACTGACAATTGCACGGTCATGCAACGCCGCACCTAAATGAAATTTACGTCCTCCCCCCCCCCCCCCACCCCCCCACAAATAGAACTTTCTTTTGGTGGTATTTAATCGCCTGTGTGGTTTTTTATTTTTTGCGCTAGAAGCACAAAAAGACCATCTGTGATTGGGGGGGGGGGGGGGGGAGTCTGTGATGGGGGTGTGTGCTGAGGGGTCTGCTCTGTGATGAATTGGGGGGTCTGTGATTGAGGGGGTGTGTGATGAGGGGTCTGGTCTGTGATGGAGGGAGTCTGTGATGGGGGGGTGTGTGATGGGGGGTCTGGTCTATGATGGAGGGAGTCTGTGATGGGGGGGTGTGTGATGGGGGGGGGTCTGTGATTGGGGGTGTGTGATGAGGGGGTCTGGTCTGTGATGGGGGGGAGGTCTGTGATTGAGGGTGTGTGTGATGAGGGGTCTAGTCTGTGATTGGGGGGGGGTCTGTGATTGGTGGGGGTGTGATGAGAGGTCTGGTCAGTGATGGGGGGAGTCTGTGATGGGGGGGGAGGGGTTGTCTGTGATGGGGGGGTCTGTGATTTGGGGGGGGGTGATGAGGGGTCTATGATGGGGGGGAGTTGTCTGTGATGGGGGGGGTCTGTGATTGGGGGGAGGGGTGTGTGATGAGGGGTCTAGTCTGTGATGGGGGGTCTACTTGATGGGGGGGGGGGGTGTGATGAGGGGTCTAGTCTGCGATGGGGGGGAGATATCTGTGATTGGGGGGGGGGGTCTGTAATTTGGGAGGGGATTGTGATGAGGGGTCTAGTCTGTGATGGAGGGGTCTGTGATGGAGGGGAGTTGTCTGTGATTGGGGGGGTCTGTGATTTAGGGGGGGTGGGGGTCTAGTCTGTGTGGGGGGGGTGTGATGAGGGGTCTGTCTGTGATGGGGGGAGTTTTCTGTGATGGGGGGGGAGTCTGTGATTTGGGGGGTGTGTGATGAGGGGTCTAGTCTGTGATGGAGGGGTCTATGATGGGGAGTCTGTGATTTGGGGGGGGTGTGATGGAGGGGTCTGTGATGGGGGGTGTGATGGGGGGGGGTCTAGTCTGTGATGGGGGGGTCTGTGAGGGGGGGGGGTGTGTGTCTGTGATGGGGGGGTCTGTGATTTGGGGGGGGGTGATGAGGGGTCAAGTCTGTGATGGAGGGGTCTATGATGGGGGGGGGTTGTCTGTGATGGGGGGGGGGGGGGGTCTAGTCTGTGATGGGGGGGTGGTGTCTGTGATGGGGGGGTTATTTGTGATCTCCTGTATAGAGGATAATTATCCTCTCCAATCACTCTGTCTATTGTTTGGCTCTAGAAATGAACAGGAACGCCCCGCACCTAGCACATGATAATCTGCGGGTACACGGGGGTCGCCGGTCGCATCGTCTGAAGGCTGCACATAAATTTGTAATAATGTTGTTTCATTCTTTATTAAAGATTCAGGAGGATTACTGAGCTTTGATGGTAATTTGTTTATCAACCAGGAAGGCTCAGTTACGCCAGATGCTGTTCCATGCACTGTGCGGCGTCCCAGACTGCGGGATACAAGTCCATCGGCGTCCCCGGGGCCGCTTACAACCCAGCAAATAGCACCGCGGTGTGTATTGGGGATATCCCTCGGGTTGGGTACGCTGACCTGCAGTCCAAGCCATTTGAAGAGACGCAATAAAGAGATGTGGTCACCTGACCAATCATTTTGCCTACAATCTTCCCATAAGATCCTCAGGGGAGTTCAGTAAATCCCCGCTGACATACTCCTGGCGCTATGGACCTTTAAAGTGGGGCTGCGCAAGTTTGAAAAAAAAAAAGATCCTCGCTGCCCGTTTTGGTAACTTTACTGACACATGCGGCAGATTGCGGTAGTTCTTAGTACGACCACTTTTACAAGGGGGCGCTGTTGAGGCACTGAATTAAAGAAAAAAAAATGACGACCTGTTCATAGATAACGAAACTGGAGGTAACAAGACCCACTGTGAGATGGCGTACAGAGACGGGCAGAGTGCCTGCTTCTGTAACATCCTCTGTGAGCTCCTAAACCTTTCCTTTTCCCCTTCACTTCCATTTGTTTGTTTGTGGTGTGTATTAGTTGGGGTCATGTACTGCTCTGTGTACAGTTCACGTCCCATAGTCCATCTCAGGAGGGTGGCTACATTCCTACATACCGTGGGACCATAGAGAATGGGCATAACCACCCTCTAGCACCCTGCTGTCCAACTTGCAGCCCAGGGACCACATGCGGCCCTTTGGCACTTTTTATGTGACCCTAAGGGCCCCTGCAGAGACTAAACTTGGTTTCCTTATTGCTCTGGTATAGCAGTGATTTCAATCTGCAGTCTCTGACCGTCTCTACTATCATGTCTACAGTCTCTGACCGTCTCCTGTACTACGTCTTCAGTCTCTGGACCGTCTCCTGTACTGTGTCCGCAGTCTCTGGTCATCTGCTGTACTGTGTCCGCAGTCTCTGGTCATCTCCTGTACTGTGTCCGCAGTCTCTGGTCATCTCCTGTACTGTGTCCGCAGTCTCTGATCATCCCCTGTACTGTGTCTGCAGTCTCTGACCGTCTCCTGTGCTATGTCTGCAGTCTCTGACCGTCTCCTGTCCTACTGTGTCTGCAGTCTCTGACCGTCTCCTGTATCATGTCTGCAGTCTCGACTGTCTCCTGTATCATGTCTATGTCTGCAGTCTCTGATCTGTCTGCAGTCTCTGGTCGTCTCCTGTATCATGTCTGCAGTCTCCGGTCTCTCCTGTATCATGTCTGCAGTCTCCGACCGTCTCCTTTATCATGTCTGCAGTCTCCGACCGTCTCCTGTACTATGTCTGCAGTCTCCGACCGTCTCCTGTACTGTGTCTGCAGTCTCCGACTGTCTCCTGTATCATGTCTGCAGTCTCCGACTGTCTCCTGTATCATGTCTGCAGTCTCCGACTGTCTCCTGTACTATGTCTGCAGTCTCCGACCGTCTCCTGTACTATGTCTGCAGTCTCCGACCGTCTCCTGTACTATGTCTGCAGTCTCTGACCGTCTGCTGTACTGTGTGTTTGCAGTCTCTGACCATCTCCTGTATTCTGCCCATAGCCTTTGACTGTATCCTGTTGGGTGTCTGCTATCGCTGACATTGAACATTCCCTGAATTTTCTGTGTGGCCCTTTGGTGATGTTGAGGGCCACACTTGAGGCCCCCCAAGAAAGTTGACCTCACTGGTGTAACAGGAAATCAGTAAAGCCGTACATGGAGGAGTTGCTGTGTGGCGGCTCCTTCGTCTCTTGTTTTTTGTATAGAATTGTTCATTGTGTTCGATTCTTGTTTTCCTGGCATGAATGTGCCGTCTGAGGTCTTCTCCGCCATTCCCAGTCACAGGAACCTTTGAAGTCTTCATGCCTAATGCATGGAAAATCGGGAGGCAGACACTCACTGAATGAACGCTCCGTGTTCGGCCAGATGCGGGTAATTATCGCCCAGCTTTGATCAGGGAGGCCGAAGTCACATGCAGCTCCTGTCATGGGAGACGGAGCGCTACATTGTGACATCCGGACAAACTGCGTATCACCTGCCACAGGGGCAGTAGACTATTATTGGTGGAGTCCATGAAGGCTTCTGATAGAAATACACTATATTGCCCCAAGTATTGGTCGGCCGGCCTTTCCACGCACATGACCTTTAATGGCCCCCCGGTCTTGGTCCGTAGGGTTCAGTATTGAGTTGGCCCCGCCTTTCCACGCACATGACCTTTAATGGCCCCCCGGTCTTGGTCCGTAGGGTTCAGTATTGGTCGGCCCCGGCCTTTCCACTCACATGACCTTTAATGGCCCCCCGGTCTTGGTCCGTAGGGTTCAGTATTGAGTTGGCCCCGCCTTTCCCACACACATGACCTTTAATGGCCCCCCCCAGTCTTAGTCCGTAGGGTTCAATATTGAGTTGGCCCCGCCCTTTGCAGCTTCAACAGCTTCAGCTCTTCTGGGAAGGCCGTCCACAAGGTTTAGGAGGGTGTCTATGGGAAGGTTGGACCATTCTTCCAAAGCACATTTGTCAGGTCAGGCACTGATGTCGGGGGAGGAGGCCTGGCTCGCAGTCTCCGCTCTAATTCATCCCAAAGGTGTTCTATGGGGTTGAGGTCAGGACTCTGTGCAGGACAGTCAAGTTCCTCCACCCCAAACTGGCTCCTCCGTGTCTTTTTGGACCTTGCTTTGTGCACTGGTGCGCAGTCATGTTGGAACAGGAAGGGGCCATCCCCAAACTCCTCCCACAAAGTTGTGAGCATGAAATTGTCCAAAATGTCGCCTTAAGAGTTTCCTTCACTGGAACTAGGGGGCCAAGCCCAAACCCTGCAGAACACCCCCACACCATAATCCCCCCTCCACCAAACTTTACACTTGGCACAATGCAGTCAGGCAAGTACCGTTCTCCTGGCCACTGCCAAACCCAGACACGTCCAGACAGAGAAGCGTGATTGGTCACTCCAGAGAACATTTCCATTGCTCTAGAGTCCAGTGGCGGCGTGCTTTACACCACGGCATCCAACGCTTTGCATCGCACTTTGTGATGGAAGGCTTGGATGCAGCTGCTCGGCCATGGAAACCCATTCCATGAGGCTCTCTACGCACTGTTGTTGGGCTCATCTGAAGGCCACACCAAGTTTGGAGGTCTTTAGCTATTGACTCTGCAGACAGTTGGTGACTTCTGTGCACTGTGCGCTTCAGCATGCGCTGACCCCGCCCTGTCATGTGACGTGGCCTACCACTTGGTGGCTGAGTGGCTGTTGTTCCCAGTTGCTTCCACTTTGTTATAATCCCACTAACAGTTGAGCGTGGAATATTTAGTAGCCAGGAAATGTCACGGATGGACTTATTGCCCAGGTGGCCACCTATCACGGGACCACGCTTGGAGTCACTGAGCTCCTGAGAGCGACCCATTCTTTCACCAATGTTTGTAGAAGCAGTCTGCATGTCTAGGGGCTTGATTGTATACACCTGTATCCATGGAGGGGATTGGAACACCTGAATCACATGATATGGAGGGGATTGGAACACCTGAATCACATGATTTGGAGGGCGGGGGACAATACTTTTAGCAATATAGGGTCCTTTCACATGGGCGGATCCACTTGCTTAGCAGGGAATCTCTCTGCTGATCCCTGCTGAGCAGGCGGATGACAGCTCTGTGTCCTCTCCGTTGCTGCAGAGCGGACACAGATCTGCTCACTGTCCTCAATGGGCTGTTGGATGAAAACGGACCACCTGTCCGTTTCCATCCAACCCGATCCGATGGACTTGGATCCCCATTTGTCCCTTTTTTTACGGGTCTGATCGGATTGGATTGGATATCGGCGGGTGTAAATGGACACGTCTGTTTACACCTGCCGCTCCATGGAGGAGAATAGAGGTTGCGATTGGGTCTGCCTAAAAAACCCAATTGAATCGACCATGTGAAAGAGGTTATAGTGTATATCCACTCTGCTGTTTTTAGCTCTCATTCACCTGGGGGGGGGGGGGGGGTAATAAAGTGTACACCCCTGGAGGGCTGTGTTTACCCACATGGGAACGCACTGAAGCCTGAAGTCTGGAATCCATGGACATTACCAAAGACTGGGTTTCCTTCTTTCTGATGCTTTGCCTGAAGTCTGGAACCCATGGACATGACCAAAGACTGGGTTTCCTTCTTTCTGATGCGTCCCCTGAAGTCTGGAACCCATGGACATGACCAAAGACTGGGTTTCCTTCTTTCTGATGCGTCCCCTGAAGTCTGGAACCCATGGACATGACCAAAGACTGGGTTTCCTTCTTTCTGATGCGTCCCCTGAAGTCTGGAACCCATGGACATGACCAAAGACTGGGTTTCCTCCTTTCTGATGCTTTGCCTGAAGCCTGGAACCCATGGACATGACCAAAGACTGGGTTTCCTCCTTTCTGATGCTTTGCCTGAAGCCTGGAACCCATGGACATGACCAAAGACTGGGTTTCCTCCTTTCTGATGCTTTGCCAGGCTCTAACTGCAGCTGTCTTCAGTTGTTCTTTGTTTGTGGGTCTTTCTGCCTTTAGTTTTGCCTTCAGCAGGTGAAATGCATGCTCAATGGGGTTGAGATCAGGTGATTGACTGGGGCATTGCAGAATATTCCACTTTTTTTCCTTCACAAGCTCCTGGGTTGCTTTTGCAGTGTGTTTTGTATCATTGTCCATCTGTACTGTGAAGCGCCGTCAAATCAGCTTTGCTGCATTTGGCTGAATCTGGGCTGACAGTAGATCTGTAAACACGGCAGAATTCATCCGACTGCTTCTGTCTTCTGTTACATCATCAATAACCACCAATGACCCAGTGCCACTGGAAGCCATGCATGCCCATGCCATCACACTGCCTCCGCCCATGCCATCACCTTGCCTCCGCCCATGCCATCACCTTGCCTCCGCCCATGCCATCACCTTGCCTCCGCCCATGCCATCACACTGCCTCCGCCCATGCCATCACACTGCCTCCGCCCATGCCATCACACCGCCTCCGCCCATGTCATCACACCGCTTCCACCCATGCCATCACACCGCCTCGGCCCATGCCATCACACCGCCTCCGCCCATGCCATCACACCGCCTCCGCCCATGCCATCACACTGCCTCCACCCATGCCATCACACTGCCTCCACCCATGCCATCACACTGCCTCCACCCATGCCATCACACTGCCTCCACCCATGCCATCACACTGCCTCCACCCATGCCATCACACTGCCTCCACCCATGCCATCACACTGCTTCCACCCATATCATCACACCGCCTCCACCCATGCCATCACACCGCCTCCACCCATGTCATCACACCGCCTCCACCCATGTCATCACACTGCCTCCATCCATGCCATCACACCGCCTCCACCCATGTCATCACACCGCCTCCACCCATGTCATCACACTGCCTCCACCCATGTCATCACACTGCCTCCACCCATGCCATCACACCGCTTCCACCCATGCCATCACACCGCTTCCACCCATGCCATCACACCGCTTCCACCCATGCCATCACACTGCTTCCACCCATGCCATCACACCGCCTCCACCCATGTCATCACACCGCCTCCATCCATGCCATCACACCGCCTCCACCCATGTCATCACACTGCCTCCACCCATGCCATCACACTGCCTCCACCATGTTTTACAGATGACGTTGTGTGCTTTGGATCATGAGCTGTTCCAAACCTTCTCCACACTTTTTTCTTTCCATCATTCTGGTACAGAGTAATCTTAGTTTCATCCGTCCAAAGAATGCTTTTCCAGAACTGGTCTGGCTTTTTTAGAGGTTTTTTGGCAAAGTCTAATCTGGCTTTTCTATTCTTCAGGTTTATGAATGGTTTGCACCTTGTGGTGAACCCTCTGTATTTGCTCTCGTGAAGTCTTCTCTTGATGGTAGACTTTGACAATGATACGCCCACCTCCTGGAGAGTGTCCTTCACTTGTCTGGATGTTGTGAATGGGTTTTTCTGTACCATAGAGAGGATCCTGCGATCATCCACCACTGTAGTCTTTCAAGGACGTCCATGCCTTTTTATGTCGCTGAGCTCACCAGTGCGTTCTTCTTTCCTCAGAATGGACCAAACTGATGATTTGGGCACTCCTAATGTTGCTGCGATCTCTCTGATGGATTTGTTTTGTTTCGGAAGCCTTACAATGGCCTGTTTCACTTGCATGGACAGCTCCTTTGAACGGAAGATGTAGGTTCACAGCAGTGGATTCCAAATGCAAATACCACGTTGAATCCTCATGCACACGGGACGTTTTTACAGCGGCTGTTTTTGGCATGTTATGTTTTTTTTCTACAGCCAGTAAACCCCCCCAGCATGTGATCCTATGTGTCCGTACACACAGAGACTGGAATCAATGTTTTTTGGCTGGAAAAACCCCCCAGAACTAGTGGGTTCCTATAGGAGTTTTTTAAAAACGTGATAAAACCAGCATTTTTGGGCTTTTTTTTTTTGTAAAAAAGAAAACCGCGGGAAAACACAGCTAAACGTAGCAAGACGCCGCTAAACGCTAATGCAAATACGCTAAAAAAAGCTGAAAACTCCAGTTTTTAACATGACTTTACACAGCTAATGTTACCAGCGTTCTCAAAACATTCCGTGTGCGTGAGGGCTTACATGGGTCGAATTCCGAACGATATTTTGTCTGAAAATCGAAAACGTTGTTCGCTTGGTAATCCGTTGATGTATCAATGATTTGGAAAATCGTCCGACCGAGTCATAAAGTTCACCTCATATAACAGGCGAAACTTCTGTTCCTTCCAGGTCACGGCTCATGGCGCATATTCTTTTCGGAAAAACGATCGTACCATTTCACCATCATTGAGTCGAAAATCGGGTCGTTTTTTCACGAATTTTCCAACATGCCCAATCACTGAAAAGGGGAGGGACCACGAAAATCGTCCAGTGCCATTGACCCACTAACAGCGAAAATTGTCCGATTATTCTTAGGACGAAAAAGCGGTCGAATATCGACCCATGTATGGCCGGCCTTAGAATCAACTCCAGACCGTTTTACCTGCTTAATTGATGAAGAAATAACGAAGGAGTAGCCCACACCTGGCCATGAAACAGCTTTTGATTCAACTGTCCAATTACTTTTGGTCTTTTGAAAAAGGGGGGATGGCTACTCTTAAGAGCTGTAATTCCTAAACCCTTCCTCCAATTGGGATGTACATACCCTCAAATTACACCTGAGAGTGCGCACTGTCCGCCCATATCCATTATAGACCTATAGCTGGAACATGTTTCGGTGAATACCTGAAAATTCTAAGACTGTGCCTGTGTCCAAATACATAAGGACCTAACTGTATGCCCTTTAACATCGTATCTGCTAGGTCCTTCTATATCCTCAATATTCCGATGATATCTGGGTGGGGCTCAACATAAAGCAGCTGTCTTCTATGCAGAACATTTCTCCTCCGAGGTTACTGTGAGCTGCACTGTACATAATTCCCATAAGGTTAACCTAAACTACCGTTTTATTTTGTGTGCACAGCGGCAACCAGTAAAATGAACAGCTTAGACCGCGGGGTTTATGAGAGCGCAATGGGTGACGCAGCCTAGACTACACCTTTATGTCAGTAGGACTTCTGACCCAATAAAGGATCCAGGATCAACTTAAGTCTTAGAATGGTGGCGCGGATAGGGCGCACGCGCGCCCCCTACCCGGAGTTGCAAAATTGTGTGTGTGTGTGTGTGTGTGTGTATACACAGTTGTATTCAAAATACTATCAGTCAGACATCACTAACCGGATCAATCACTGTTTTTGGTGGAAATGATATTTCTACATGGCAGATAATTTCCTAGCAGGTGTAGTAGAGTCATAGAAATCCAACAGACCCGACAGTCATGACATGCATGCTGCTGATTCTGTCATTGAATCACTCATTGAAAGGGACGTGTTCAAAATAATAGCCGTGTGGAGTTCTATTAGTGAGGTCATTCATTCTTTGATGAACAGGTGGCAATGATTGCCCTTATTTAAGGAAGGAAGGCAGCAAATGTTGGACATGCTGGTTACAGTGCATTTCGCTCTGAAATTCTGAGGAAAATGGGTCGTTCCAGACATTGTTCAGAAGAACAGCGTACCTTGATTAAAAAGTTGATTGGAGAGGGGAAAACATATAAAGAAGTGCAGAAAATGATCGGCTGCTCAGCTAAAATGATGGCAAATGCTTTAAAATGGCAACCAAAACCTGAAAGACGAGGAAGAAAGCGAAAAACTACCATTGGAATGGATAGAAGAAATAGCCAACATGGGGCGGACTCAGCCAACAATCAGCTCCAGGAAGATGAAAGAAGGTGTGACGTTCCCTGTGAGGACTGTTACAATTAGAAGACGCCGATGTGAAGCCAAGCTATCTGCAAGAAGTCCCCACAAAGTCCCACTGTTGGGAAAAAGACGTGTGCTGAAGAGGTTACAATCTGCCAAAGAGCACATTGACTGGCCTAAAGAGAAATGGCGCAACATTTTGTGGACTGATGGAAGTAAGATTGTTCTTTTTGGGTCTAGTGGGCGGAGACAGTTTGTCAGACGACCCCCAAACACTGAATTCAAGCCACAGTACACTGTGAAGACAGTGAAGCATGGTGGTGCAAGCATCATGATACGGGGATGTTTCTCATACTACGGTGTTGGGCCTAT